GAACTACTGGATAGTGCAAACATTGCAAGGTTAGCAGTGACTGAGGAACTCCAGAAAGTAAAAGGACAGTTTCCACAATCCCTTTACGGAGCCTGTTTTTCAGGGATACAAGGATCCACAAAAGGAGGAAAAAACTTTTACTTACCAGGGGTCAAGTATATCCTATTTCTACACAGGAAAATTGATAGATGGAAATGTAAAACAAAGTCTGCACCACCACTAATAAGGAAATGTTGGTTTGCATCACACTGCTGGCCCTCAGGGATTCCCTAGGAGCTTTACATTCACAGTGTTTCCTAACTGGAGTCATTCAGTATTCCTTTGTTTCTGCTGTTCTCTGATTCAAGTGTCACCCTTCACAGACAGAAGGGAATATTCTTCTGCTGTGTTCCAAGCGTGCCTGACCACTTCTCCTGAAGTTCACATATATCCAGGCAGTTTAACCTGGAGGAATTCACAGTTCCAGATACCAGAATTGCCAAAAGCTCCCACCTGTTCACTGCTCTGATGTCCCAGTTTAAATGAGACAAGGGTCTTTTGCTGAGGATGGATTAGGAGGAAAAGACCCAAACTTCTCTTTCCAAGCAATTATAAATCCAAAATTAAGAGGCTTCGATTGAAGGAAAACAAATTATGGAGAAGGGAAAATAACAGCCCTTTATTAAAAGGTATGTGATGTATTAACAGGAAAACGAAAAAAAAAAAAAAACAAGTAAAATAACTAAGTAATACTCCTATACCCACCAATAATCCCCTTCAAGAACAAAACCGATAAACTGGCAAAAGGAAAATAGTTCAATTTCTTGCACCCTTTGGTGCAGTTCCAACCACAGTCAGCAGGGGGTGCCGTCGGGTCACTGGAGATGCAAAATTTTGTAATGTCCTGTACCATTCACCAGGTGGCGCTGTTGGGTCACTGAAGGTGTGAAAAAAAGAAACTTGTAGTGTCCTATTGTAGTCACCAGGTGGCGCTGTTGGATCACTGGAGGAGTAGAACTTGTAATGTCCAGTGCCCGTCACCAGGCGGCGCTGTGAGATCCTTGGCTGCCACTGGTGGGGGGGGGAAGGAAAACAACAGCAATAAAACAGAAAGTTCTCCCAATGGAAGAAAAGTCACAAACTTCAGCTGATTAGGGTCTGTTGTAAGCAGGGCTTGCAGCCAGCCAGAGGTGAGCCAAGAGCCGCAGCCAGAAACTCCCCTCCGACAGGAAAAAAACAAAGGAACCCAGTAGTGTCTGCAGCCCGCAGCAGCCTCTCACCCCGGCAGAGAGAGAGACTCCCTCCTCCCTCCCCAGCCTCCACCCCCTTCCAGTCACACACCAGCCACCTCCCCCCTTCATTGTCAAGGAAACAAATCTCGGCCATCAGGGCTCGGGCGATTCCTTTGTTCAACTAAATGGGCAATATACAGAGCACACACACACACACACACCGCAGGAGGAAAGGAAAGAAAAATTCCTTGCTAAAAATACGAACTATGACATCTTACCTCATCACCATCTATAGACTTCTTAAAGAAACTCTACATTGCCTCAGCAGTGCCTTTTGGGCAAATGTAGCACAAAAAAGCTGCAACAGCTGGATATCACCGTTCTCCTTTCAACCCTGCAATTGCATGCTAAGGCTGTTTTAATGCTTAAGCAATATTAAAACATTGGTCAGACTTCTAAATTTGGTCTGTTGTGAATTCAGGTGTTTTGCATGTTTCTGAGGTAAAATAATCACTAAGGATGTGTTCATGTTTGGTGTGAATTTGTGCAAAATTGCTGCCCCTACAATGGAAACAAAGTGTTCATTGTTGAAAAAATTCTAATTATGATCCAGGGCAGAGAACCTGGTGTTGCATTCAAACAAATAATTTAAATTGCAAAGATAGAGTGATTAATGTTTAAAAGTCTCTTATATGGTTTTTTTCCCCACCTTTCCTTCTTTTCCAGTGTGAAAGAAGAAAGCATTCTTACCTCTTGTCTAAGAAACATTTCCTTTTACAATGACATAAAGATGTTTCAAATTATCCCTCCAGAAAGCCCAAGGACACAGGAGAACTTTTTCTTTTTTTTTTTTCCCCCCCACAGTCATTAAGGTCTATCAAAAGCCAGAACAGTCAGTGAAAAAGCACCTACTGAGAACTGTGGCTAACTTGAAAGTACAGGACAGAAAAGAAAAAAAAAGAGTTTTGACCCTTTTTTCTAACTTATTTACAATCAGTTTAACACCTCTGTGCTGAAGTGTGCAACTTTGACACGTGTTTCACTGAAGATTGGCCACATTTTAAACAACAGCAAATGCTGCCATCTAACGGTACCTGATCCCTGAACAAAAGCTGTCGGCTCATTCCAGCTCTCAAAGAACAAAAGAAATAGTTTCACCTCACAAGCATCACTCTGCATGAAACAACCCAATCCAGACAGGAGCAGGTCTCAAGCAGAGCCACCAAATATCTCTGCATCCCTCTGCCCAGTGCTGCAGCTCCCAAGCACAAATTCCTGACTTAAGCTAAGAGGGCTGCAAACCTTCTTCATCAGCTGTTTTATTTTTTCTGAACTGCAGTTGGTTCTGGAAGTAATCACAGAATCATTAAGGTTGGAAAAGATCTCCAAGATCATCAAGTCCAACCCTTAATCAAACATCACCATGCCCACAGTACTAAATGCCACATCCACTTGTTTTTGGAACATTTCCAGGGATGGTGATTCCACCAGTTCCCTGGGGAGTTAAAGATCAACCATAACAAAGCCCGTTCAAACCATACTGTATCTGAACTTTTTAACTCTTCACTTTCTTGTCTTCATTTGTCCTGAAATTAACTTAGATTTGACTGTTATATTTAATAGTATTTAACATGGGAAATGAGAGTAAAAATTAAGTAATTACCTAATTGCTCCTGCTATTCTTGGCCTCAAGATGCTAAATCTTTTCTGCTTCCCTGAAAAAGTGAAACATTTTCAGTTTTCTTGTGCTAATAGGTAGCTACTTTTGTAAAATTATATTACTGAGCCAACCACAACAGACATTCAGGTTATTGCTGTAGAATGAGAGATTTTAAGTCAGAATCCTGCCCCACAGTGTCTCTAAAAGGCTCAGTCCTTAAAAGGAAAAATAGGGCAAATTTCTATGACACACCAGATGGCAAAATTAGCCAACACAGACGAAAGGGCATGTGGAAAGAGCATAGAGGAAAAGCCTCTAAGAAAAGGCACTGAAGCTCCACCAAAGACTGTGAGACAGAATAACAATCCTCAGTCTTCCTCAGAGTCTGTCTGAGAATTTTCAAGGCCCTGAATTAGAGCACCACATTATTTAAATTTTTCACTCCTGTATCCATGGAAAAAGAGGGAACACACAGCCACTGAGATACTTACTCAGTCCAGCTGAGTTCTGGTGGAAGCAGAGGTACAGTCATAAGAACACAATTGAGTAACACGGTACATATAATAAAGCCAACAAAGCATGTGAATAGTAAGTTGAGGAAAAAATGCCACATTATAAAACAATTCGTAGCTCATAGTTCATAGAAGGTCCTGATTTCCACACAAAAAGCATACAGACATTCAATTAATTACTTTCTTTTTTACTATGCTTAGGTCTTTTCAGGTATTTTCCAAAGAAACTAATAATGGATCAAACCTTCTCACCTGGGAAAACTTCATAATTTACATAAATCAGTGAATTACCTGCTTTTTTTTTTTTTTTTTTTTTTTTTCCAACAGGAAGATGAAATAAAGAGAAATGTGCCACAGCTCGATAATAAATAGAGGTTTTAAGCCTAGGAAAACCACTTGAAAAAGCTTAATTACCTATGAACAGTATTTCTTGAAACTGAGATTCCATACCCACATGTTAGCAAAACACCCCTCTGCTCTGCAGGGGTTCAGAAAGCTTTCTCACTTTATGTGGTTGGCAATTAAAACTTGCATAAGAAAAAACATTCTTTCATAAAAATTCACCTGTCATATAATTAAATTTAAGAACAATGTTTATTTAAATAATACCCCAAACAATTTTGAGTTTACTTGTAAGTGAACAGTAAATTTAGTAATTTCTAACGGCAGGAATTCACATTCAAAGTCAGACAGAAATTCCACTAAAAGGACCTATTTTCAAAAATTAATAATTCCAAATGAATACAGATTTTTCAAGTCTGCATCTAGAACTGTATCTAACTGCAATCATGAGTAAAGCTTTCCTGTTTTCTTACTCAGAGCTGTGACCTGGCCATACACATTTTGAAGGAAAGACAACAGCTCTAGGAAAGTGCAGTATTGCCTGAGAGGAAGAAGTAGTAATGAGAATGAATGTGAAGAGCAAGTGATCATATTCACTTGGTCAAAGTAATTAAACTACTTAAAGCAATTAAATAGTACTTACTATGCTAGGACTGCAACAATGGTCACAGTCATACTTAGAAGTACCTTACTCTTGGATAGTTTTACAGGCTACAAAAGCTTATTTACAAAGTAAACATTGGATAGAACTGCCAGAATCCCAGACATGCAAAGGAAAAATCAAAACTTTGAAGTAGCCCTAAATAATCAAGCAACACTGTAATTTCCCTCTAAGCTACCTCAAATTCCACCCAGCTCTGTACTTTTGCTACATGTAAAACTGAAATATCTTGAATGAAAAACAGTTTCCTAATAAAAATGTCTTCAACTGAATCAGCTTTAGTTTCTCTTTATCCAATATTACTTTGATTACTTGGAGAAAAAAAATCTCTGGAAGAAAAAAGTCTTCTGCATGTTCTCTGATTCAATTATTATATTCCAATGCCTTGCTGGGCACATCATAAAGACAAGAGCACAGCACTGCACGGAACCTCCTGCTCTTCAGGTCAAGTCCCCCTCAACAGTAAACAATTATACAGCAGACATTTAATTGAAGAGAGATTCCTAGAGCATCTACTGTAGACACTCCTGGAGGCAACAACACCAACCCCTTTGCACCCACATGGGGGATATGCAATATAAATGTGGTACAATAAACAAAGCCAACAAGACAAATTAACAGAAAATTAATTTACGACAATGCAAATACATTGGTGTGTGGCACAAAGTGCTGGAATATCTCCAATATCCCTCCCCTAATTAGTATAATCTTTGTCATTCAGAGAAAGCATCTGCAATTCCAGCATGATCTACTCTGGGACAGGCAGTGTTTAAACCAGCAGACAAAGTTAAGTTTTTGGAAGTTTTAACCTTGTGATCACTGTAGTATGGATCCAAATCCTCCAGGGGTTCCCCAATGAGCTCTGCTGGAATGTCCCCATAAAGAGATGGCAGCTTTTTGCAGATTTGCAGATCAAGTTGGGGAGTAAGTTGTTCTTCTTCAACTCCTTGGTGCTTATTCTTCTCTTTTTCTTTGTCTGGCTGCTTTTTTTTCTCAGCAATTCTTTGCTCAATTGCTGCCAAGGACTCAGGGGTGAAAAGTCGAAAGCCATTAGTTTCTGACCAAGACCAGGGATCCATTTTTCCTTCTGAATGTTTGTTTCCAGTGCTAGAGGCAATTTAAGTAAAAAGATGTTAACAATTAGAAAATAACAGAAAAAATACACACCTTTAAACTACTATCTATTAGATAAATGATTTCTGACTTCTGTGAAACCCCACATCAAAAGAGAATAGAATAGAGTAGAACAGGAATAGCCCATTTCAGCTGGAAGGGACCCACAACAACCCTCCAGTGCAACTGCCTGAGCAATTCAGGGCTGACCAAGTTAAAGCTGTTCCTAAGGGCACTGTCCAAGTGTCTCTTGAGCACTGACAGGCTTGGGCAAGGACCACTCCTCTGGGGAGCCTGTTCCAGTGTTCAACCATCCTCTTGGTAAAGAAATGCATCCTGATGTCTCACCTACACCCACCCCCAGTGGAGCTTTGAACCATTCCCACACGTGCTGTCACTGGAGAGCAGGGAGAGAAGCTCAGCACCTCCCTCTCCACTTCCCCTCCTCAGGAAGCTGTAGAGTGTTGAGGTCACCCCTTGGCCTCCTCTCCTCCAAACCAGACAAGCTCAAAGCCCTCAGCCCCTCCTCACAGGACATTCCTTCCAGCCCTGGGCTCTGGACCTTCAGACTCATCAGATCCTTCCTCTGCACTAAGCAAGGCCAACACTTAATTTGGCTCAAGTTTTTTTTGCAGTTGCATTTTGAGAACATTCAAGGGGAACTTTATACAGTTGCAAATGGCTGTAACTCTTCAGTTACTAATGCCTGAATTTACCATAGTTTTGATGACTTGTCCTCTATGACTCACATCAAAACTGATTACTCCCATCTAATAAACACTTTGGGTTACCAAAAAGTTTTTGAAAGACTCTGTACCTTTGATTGCTGAGGTTGAGCTGTGGTACTTCTGCTTTGTGAACTCACATGTGGGCCATGTCAGAGAATCAATACCCTCTTGTAACTACAGCTCTCTTATCTGTTACTTTGCCAAACCACACAGAGCCATTTCCAATCGAAAGCTCAAAAGATAAAGTGAAAATCAAGATGATTTTTTTAAAAAAAAAAAAAAACCCTTTTAATAATTCTAAGAAGATCAAATGGATCTTCAGAGCAATTTTAAGGACAACAGTTTGCTTCAAAGTAATTTTAAGGAGCTTTTAGTGGACTACATTGACTGTAACAAATGAAGCAAGGAAAATTATTTTTAGCAAACAGAAACATTGTTTTAGTATTAAGGATTTGGGAGCTGAAATTTTGAAAAAAAACACCAAAGACTGAATCTGACAAAAGCAGTGATCAAGAGCAAAACAACCTTACACATTCTCTTCAGCAAGAGTGACCAGATGCAGATACAATGCTAGAGTCCAGATCTGCTATTTCCAGTACAGGACATGAAAGAAATTCCCATTTAAATTCAATTAAGAATTGAAAATGCTGCAACAGTTCTTGATATCTCTGGTCCCGGAGCAGACAGTGGTCCATCAGTAACAGATACAAATGCGCTGAGGGGACCTTCAGGTACTAAAGTACCACTCCCAGTAGGGTCAGGGATGCAGAAACACCTCTTCAAATTCAACTTCTTCTTTTAAATGAAAGTGGAAATTATTTATTTCTCTCCTCTTGAGAGGCAGTGAACTCAGTGTACAGAGCTAGCCCTGCTTTCAGGTTAGTCTAACTGGCTTAAGGTTGACTTTGGGGACTGCAAAAATGACATGGCAGCTTTTCAAGTCAAAACCCGAGAAATTCCACAGAGACTGATGAAATTTGCTGAACAAATGCCGTGCAAAGCAATAGAAAGGGGTGAACAACAACTCATTAAATGAAGCAGACACTGGGCACTACTTAAGTACAATTTGCTATTAAAATTTACTAAGATAAAAGCTGGGGTTTAGGACAATTTTTTAGAAGAGCAAAGTAATGCCAAAAAATGAATCTATTAATAGAATATTTCAGAGATACAATTTACAAGATGCTTCCTGGGGTAATGACTTATCACTAGAGATGATAACTAACAGATTTAGACTTTTGCATTGAAAACCAAAGTACAAACTCAAGCCTTATACTCAGCTCCTTGATTTGGTTCCATTTTATGCAAATTTCAGAACTCCTTTCAGCTCCCTAAAAGCACGTAGAGTTCCTTTAAAGTTTGGCAAGGTAACAGCAATCAAACTATTGACCATTAGATCTTCAACAGTCCATAAAAGTGGAACTCAAACTCATAGAACTGCACAGGAAAACACAATCAAAGTCTGTAAGGGGCATTTTGAGGAGTTTCTCAAGATAGGAAAACTAGGAGGAACATAAACACAAAAATGTCCTTGTTTGTGTTTCAATCTAGTTTTAGCACACATTATAACCATTTCTAAGTCTCAAACTACTCCATTCCCTTGTCAAGAGCCACCCACCCAATATTTCCTGTGAGCACCCGGATCTGAAAAAAATAAACAGCAAAGTAACTGCTTAGTTTGGCTTTAGGATGCTTTTAGGATGCATTCTTCCACATGGGAATAAAAATGGGTTTGTCCCTTCATCTGGGACAAAGCAGCTCAGAGCAACACCTTGGGAAACAGCACAGGAATTCTCTCTCTTCTGTGCTGTACAATACCTTCCCAGAAGCTGCTGCTGTCACCTACTCAGTTTCCATAAGGAGTAAATACTTCTGCTGTCTGATCACAATTTTCTTTCTTTCAGTCTCAATAATTATCAGCAGATCTAAGAGATTTTAGTCCTTTATAAATCAAACTTGGACATTTTAGAGGACTACTGCTGTTTCTAAAATTCATGTCCATTTCTTCCACCTAACACTTTGTCCCCCATTCTCCACTTCCCACTCGTCCCCCTCAGCCAAAGAAAACCTTTTGGTTTGGATTGTTTGGATAAATATCTACCACTGGCTTGTTTTGGGGGTTCTTTTGTGGGGGGGTATTGTTTGATTTTTTGTTTTTTAAACAAATGTAATGTACAAAGTTACTCATAATACCAAAACAATAATATACAATATAACATAATCAATCATTACTTCCAAAATCAGAAATGTATGCAGCAGGCTGGACTGTGCATTACTTAAATATCTTGAAAAAAATCACTAACCACCCACCAGTATTTCTGGGAGAAAGACATTCCAGAGTTGTGTAGGTGAAGAAAATTCACTATGTCAGCCTGAGTTTATCTAAGATTAAGCAGTGCTACAGCCAGTTTGAGGAATACCATGCATAAGCTGAGACAACTAAACAAGACAAAAAGTAGACAGTAATTAATATTAGAAATATATCAATGTTTAGTAAAATGTTTTCCTGACATATGGATGTTATAGGAATGGCTACATATTTACCCCAATAGAGTGATTCTACATTAAAGGCATATCTTCTTATGCAGATGCTCCCTGTACCTCAAATAAAACCACACCTAAGACTTAAAAACATGTGTGTACATATTTATATATATAGAGACACACACTTGTATAAATACATCCCTCAATATTTTGATCAAATATACTGTATTATCTAAATTAAGAAAACAAGTACTTGAGATTTCTCACAGTATAAAAATATTTAGCAAAACCAAAATACTTACAACCTCCCATTCAAAATAAAAACCCTTCACACTGCTTTCTGAAGCTGATGTTGGCTGGTTTTATCTCCAAAGAGACAGAAAGTCTTTCTTTTCTCACCTTAACCTTTCCATTCCCAAGAGCATCCTTGATCCCTGGCAGCTCCCACGCAGGTTTCTATGTACTGGGATGCCTGGGGGAGGGATGGAGAGAGGAGCATGGCTGCATTTCTGACAACAGTAAATGAAATTTTCTGATCTCACTGATAACACTGTACTAAATGGAAAAGTGCTTGGGTGATTCTTTTGAAGAATAGTCACCAAAAGAATCATCCATTATTTTCTTTCTGCTGAAATTATAGTTACATTTACTAAAAGCAAAGAGGGATTTTAATTTAATTGGAAACACATGTGTAAAATGCAAAAAGCAAAAGGATTCCTGTTTTTCTTTATATTCTACTGTTTGAACTAGCTGAACTTCATATGTTCACACTCCATGTGTTCATTATACCTTTTAGAAACAAAATCTGGAAGTCAAATGTACTATCTCTTCTATACAAGATCAGAGTCCAAAATACATTCAGTAGCACAGTATAAAACCCACAACATTTCTCCTCAGATCTGAAATTGCTTGTATCTCTTTAAATAAATGTATAAAACCTTATGGCAACAGCTGTTGCACAGTAGCACAAACACATTAATAGCAAGCCCTGATGGTTATTTCTCTTAGTTACTCTTAATTACAATTATTTCTGTTACTTACATCAACAGAATCCATTACTCTCTAAATTTTTTTTCTTCTTTATTGAGTAGGATATTAATCTTTCCTCATGATAAGGGAGTTACTCTGGGTTTTGCTGGAAGAATTCTGCTGAAGGATCTATGCTGTCCTTAAAAGCCAGGCCGCCCTAATGCAGACAAACAGGCAAACAGTGACCAAACACTTTGCTCAATAGGTACCATCAGCGAAGGAAGCAACTGAAAGTGGCTTTCAAAGAAATAAAACCCCAAGTGTTCTGTGGGGTAAGCAAGAACAAAACATTTTAACTTAGAGTGTAAGTTATTTTTCCAGAAAGCAAGAGAATGTTCTTGAGATCAGTTCAATTAAGAGAGTAGAATTTTAAAGATGACTGAAGCATCACTATAATGGCACTGTAACTGCCATGGTCAGAAGCACCCACATTTCTAATGCTGTATCACCTAATACCACTAAAAGGAAAAAGATCCCTACCTGCACTTATTTATTCTGCTGATCTTCTCCATCCATCTGTCCCTGTGAAAAATGGGGCTCAGGGAGTCAAGACAGATTCCAACAGAGCCTTCTTTGCATATTCTGATATCTCCAATCTGAAAAGAGAGAGCACAGAGAACAAGATCTTTATCTGCAGCACTTTAGGACTTGCAGCTAACAGCAAAACATTTAGACAGGTAACTTTTCTTGTGCTCCCATGGAAAATCTCCTATTAGGCAGGCAGTTTCTGAAAGAGTTGGGAGGAGGCAGAAAACCGGCCTCATAATAACAACATTGTTTTCTTCCCACTTTCATTCATTATTCTTCAGAATATTAAAGGAAAAAAGGTTAAGTTTACCAATAAAATCATAACTTTTGCATATTTTAATTTGTCATGTAACCCTGCCATAACTCCAAACTTTAGTTGCTGCTTTAAATTAATGGCCAGTCTTCGCGAGCGAAGATCCGGGGAAGGTCTTTCCACCTTCCAGCCTGCGCATTGGATTTTTTAGGTGAGACACAGTGTGCGCGGAACTGAGCCCACCCTTTAATCCTAAGGTTCATCTGCCGGGGCCAAGCGAGCTTGGACAGTGGCAGCGAGGTCCTTAGGACGTAGGTGGGTTGCCTTTTTAAGGGCTAACGAGCCCCACGTACCCGGGAGTGGCCCTGACCGGGAATCGAACCCGGGTCTCCGCGGTGACAGCGCGGCGCCTTTCCATTAGACCACCAGGGGCTCCAATTACAGATCAGATAAAAGCAGACATTAAAGATATCAAGGCATTTGGCAGTTCATGCCCACTGCATGACCCTCTTATCCTCAGATTCTATCCAGCTGCCTCATCTGTCAGCTTCCCCCTACTGAGAAATGCTCTGTGGTATAATCCTGGGAATCTGTATCTCCTGTTCACTGGGAAAACAGACATGTCACAAATTCTGCTGTCTTAGAGGGAGAAAGGTTCACAAAGGTTTCATTTCCTATTTTTCCCATTTATGGGAATGAGACAGCTATTTCACTTCCTATCAAATATAGCATGATTTGAGACATCTGAAATTCAGATAATTGAAAAGCTCCTTCTCACTCCAAGATACATTTGTATTACTAAGACGCTATGTGTGAAATAGGCTAAAATTACATGCTGGACACAAGATCCCAGGTGGATACAAGAGGCAATGGAACATAAATTTCCCACAAATATATCAGTAACATCAACTGAATCATCTGTAAATCTAATCCTGAAATTTGCATACTGACCTATTCAATAGTCTATCCACCTACTATTAACTCAAGCACAGGAAGTTTGAGTAAAAAAGTGTTTTACAGAGAGAAAAACAAACACATTTATAAAAAATTCAATGGAAAAATAAAACTCATTACAGGCTACTCACTACTTACAGGCTAAAAACTTTTAGTAACTTTAGTCATAAGAGTTGAAAGGAAAATTATGAAGCCTGAGAAAAACATTTCATATTTTCAAGAAATAGATGTTGCAAAACAAAACCATACTATCCACAACTAGATGTCATCCACTGATGAAGAACTCTATTGAATTTCATATGAAATATATATATACATACATATATATATATATATGCAAAAATGTATCTTGAAGTGAGAAGGAGCTTTCCAATGATGTGAATTTCAGATGTCTCACTTGTATCAGGGTTCCATGGTCAGTGAGCTGTTGAGGGAAAGGGTCAAACAGATTGGAAAAGGAGGTAAATTGTGCTGGATTTATGAGGAACTGAAATAGCTGTCTCATTCCTATAAATGGGAAAAATAGGAAATGAAATCTTTGTGAACCCTTCTCCCTCTAAGACAGCGGAATTTGTGACATGTCTGTTTTCCCAGTGAACAGGAGACACAGATTCCCAGGATTATACCACAGAGCATTTCTCAGTAGGGGGAAGCTGACAGATGAGGCAGCTGGATAGAATCTGAGGATAAGAGGGTCATGCAGTGGGCATGAACTGCCAAATGCCTTGATATCTTTAATGCCTGCATTTATCTGATCTGTAATTTAAAACATCAACTAATGTCTAGAGTTAGGGCACCGATACAAAATACATTTAAATATGCAAAAATCTGTGGTTTTTTTCCACTCTTGACATCTGTATACTCTTAGTCATTAATCTGATGGTGGTGTGCTAATGCTACCAATCAAAAGTATTTGTCTTGTGCTCCAGCAATAAGGAGGAAAAAGAAGAGGGTTCTACTTTACAGTAAATGGAGGAGACAGATCCATGTGAAGAACATGGTGACTAAATTACCAGTAATTTCTAGAATAAAAGTATTTTAGTAATTTTTATAATGAACTTTATCTTTTTGATGTTGTTAAACAGCCTTTTTTTCCTTCAGTATTCTAAGGAATAATGAATGAAAGTGGGAAGAAAACAATGTTGTTATTATGAGGCCGGTTTTCTGCCTCCTCCCAACTCTTTCAGAAACTGCCTGCCTAATAGTAGATTTTTCATGGGAGCACAAGAAAAGTTACCTGTCTAAATGTTTTGCTGTTAGCTGCAAGTCCTAAAGTGCTGCAGATAAAGATCTTGTTCTCTGTGCTCTCTCTTTTCAGATTGGAGATATCAGAATATGCAAAGAAGGCTCTGTTGGAATCTGTCTTGACTCCCTGAGCCCCATTTTTCACAGGGACAGATGGATGGAGAAGATCAGCAGAATAAATAAGTGCAGGAAGAGAGCTTTTTCATTTCAGTGGTATTAGGTGATACAGCATTATAAATGTGGGTGCTTCTGACCATGGCAGTTACAGTGCCATTATAGTGATGCTTCAGTCATCTTTAAAATTCTGCTCTCTTAATTGAACTGATCTCAAGAACATTCTCTTACTTACTGGAAAAATAACTTACACTGCTAAGTTAAAATGTTTTGTTCTTGCTTACCCCACAGAACACTTAGGGTTTTATTTCTTTGAAAGCCACTTTCAGTTGCTTCCTTCACTGATGGTACCTATTGAGCAAAGTGTTTGGTCACTGTTTGCCTGTTTGTCTGCATTAAGGCGACCTGGCTTTTAAGGACAGCATAGATTCCTTCAGTAGAATTCTTCCAGCAAAACCCAGAGTAACTCCCTTATCATGAGGAAAGATTTATATCCTACTCAATAAAGAAGAAAAAAAATTTAGAGAGTAATGGATTCTGTTGATGCAAGTAACAGAAATAATTGTAATTAAGAGTAACTAAGAGAAATAACCATCAGCGTTTGCCATTAATGTGTTTGTGCTACTGTGCAACAGCTGTTGCCATAAGGTTTTATACATTTATTTAAATAGATACAAGCAATTTCAGATCTGAGGAGAAATGTTGTGGGTTTTATAGTGTGCTACTGAATGTATTTTGGACTCTGATCTCGTATAGAAGAGACAGTATATTTGACTTCCAGATTTTGTTTGTAAAAGGTATAATAAACATATGGAGTGTGGAACCAAGTGGAGACTACATTGCCCCAGTTACATTCTAATCCCAACAGAGAGGGAGAACATTGTGGTACTGAGACCATGCAGTGCCTGCCTGACAAGGGAGAATCAAGATGTTCTGCTGCTGAAGCCAACAGTGACATCGAACCCCCTCCTCAGATGCCAAGCCACAACCACCACCTCCTCCCATTACGTAGACCAATCAGAAATAAATGGTACCTATGACTGGAGCCACTCAAACTCCACCCAAACACAAACCAAGTCGTATAAAAGTAAGTTGGGGACAGGGGGAAAGTGGGAGAAGACCTCCACCGAAAGTGCTGGGACCCGTCGAGGGGTGGAGTCCATCTCCTCCCCCTGCAGAGGGACACCTTGGGTGAGAACTACACTCTACGTGCACTAAATGCTGCTTTTAGAACTAGGGCTTTTGCTTGTGCTTATCCCATAGCGTATTAGCAGATTGCTTCCTATCAGAGCTTGTACTTGCTTAATATC